AGAAAAGTGTTTTAGCTCAGGGTTCCCAAGTCTACAAAGGAACTACCTTTCCATAGTAGGCTCTCTGATTAGCAAACGTATGAGCTAGAGAAACCTTTTGGAGCCATATTCTCGGAGGGGAAATTAGAGAACAAAATGAAATACATTAGAGATCTGCATGAGCGCGCAACGGGGGAGCAGTGGATGTTCCTAGAGGTTGTTTCTCTATGGGCGGCCCTAGCTGCTCTCCTGCTCAGGTGCAGTGGAGTCCCTGGTGTGTCTCCCAGACCAACTCTGAGCTGCACGGGCTCCTGTAGGGTGTTGTCTCTGTAGAACTCTGGCCGTAATGACCCTCTCTTGAGTGTCCTGTGAGGAAGTGTTTCTGTTTTAGGTGTAAGTGCCGTCTGCGACCCACGCACTTCATTGCACACAGGACATATCCCTTCCCATTCTGCAGATGTTGAGTGAGTTTGTTTCCTGAGAACTGCGGCCACCTTGCTGAGAGAAAATTCTGAACTTGAGGGGGAATCCGGTTTCTTCTCAAATTTCTGGGATTTGCCTCAATAATTCTGTGGGGCTGGTCTGTTTGTTTGTATGGTTTGTAGTTACTTTCACTACTTCACCTGGAAAATCTGTAGTTGCCTGCATGTGCAGGCGTTGTGCTTGGTACCGGGATTGCAGAAGTGGGTGAGACCTGTGTCTGCCTTTCTAGCGCTGATTGAGACAGGGACAGAAAGGTCACAGATCGGTAGTTAACAGGACTTGGTACTTCGCGCCCTGGGAAGAGGCGCTTGGAAGACCTGGGAGAGAGGCTGACTCCTGGGGGAGAGAGTGCCAGAGCTAAATCCTGGGATCGTCTCTTGCCCCTGCATACGTGGGGAGCAGAGTTCTAGCAGAGCGTAGTGTCCTTTAGAAACTTGGAAAGTGTCCTGGGAAGCTCCTTCGCGACAGAACTCTCAGAGTCCTAAGACTGGGGACATGTGTGTAGGGTATTTAACAACATTTAGTTCTTGTGAAGGAGCAGCCTCTGATTTTAAGAAAAATATGTTGAGAAAGAACAAAAGGAATATTATTCCAACCTGCCTTATCAGGAGGATCACTACATCTCAGCTGTGTAGGGAAACCATGGACCAAATACTTTTTTTTTTAAAAAAAGTGTTTTTGTTTTTTTAAGATTTGTTACAGTGTCTCCCTACACAGGTGGGTCTCATAGTAATCCTCCTGTCTCAGCCTCCTCAGTGGTGGGATTATAAACATGTACCAGTGTGCCTGGTTTTGGTGGTTGGCACAGCATGGGGCCAGTGCAGCATGTGGTACTGGGATTAACGTGGGTCACTGCACTTGCTGGGCAGGTGCTTAGACCACCGAGCTATCTCCCTGGCCCCATTTGTTAAATTTTGTAGCAAGTAATTTATTGCTAACACTGGTACTTCCTGATGACATCAATAGTTTTGTTTTATGTCTTAGTACTGATATAGAGCCCAGGCCTTAGCGTTGAGCTCTACCCAGCCTTTTTTAATTTTTATTTTGAGACAGGCTTTTGCTAAGTCACTAAACTGCAGATTAGGTCTTGTGATTCTCCTGCCTCAGTTTCCAAGAGTATTTCAGAAAAGGCACACACAGTGACACCCAGATTCATGGTGCCACCCTTACTTAGACTGCAGCAGTGCCTGTCACAAGGGAAAGAAAGCAGTGACGGCCTAGCCAGCGTGCAAGCGTAACATGCACCCCGTGGTAAGTGGCGCCACGCTGCCCTGTCAGTGGGTGTCCCCTTCGTGGGGTGGAGAAGGAGCCGTGGACCCGAGGGCTGAGACACTGACCTGCGGCTGCAGAGCTGTGAGAAAGCTGGCCCGAAACAGGACCGACGTGAGGACGTCTGCCTGCTCGGCCTGGAAGTCCAAGCGGATCTCTTCCTGTAAATTATACTGTCTTGGTTACTCTTCTCGAAGTCTTTGCTCAGACAGAACACCCGAAGCCCACAATTAAAGAAGGAAAGGCTTATCCAGTGCACAGTTTATAGAGGCTTCATTGCTTAAGCTGCCAAGGCAGGGTGGCATGCCACAGGGGCAACGCTGCAGGTGGCAAAGCAGCAAAGGCAGCAAGAGCAGAGGCTGCCCGTGATGTAAGCAGGCTGCCTGGCCTCGGTGAGTAGCGCTCACACCACCTCCCTGCCCTCCGCCTGCGGAGGCTCAGGATGCTTGCAAAGTGAGGACCCTGCCCCCGCTGAGTTGCTTAGTTAGCCGCCTAAGCTTCTCAGGCTAACACAGTACATCAGCCTATACATGCATGTTTATATGATGAGCGAAGCAGTAACTCTACTAATACTTTGGGGCAAGCTCAGCTCAGTACTTCGTGCACTTGTTTTCAGAACATTATCATTGGCTCCCTTCTGGAATCCCAGGCAAGGTTAAAGACGGAAGCTTCTGAGTCCATAAGAATAGATGTAATTTAGGTCGTGTCAAAACTTACATCTTCCAAGTAATGGAAAAATTTGGAAGTTGAGGAAAAGAACAGCTACATAATGTTAAGTTTGCAGTTAAACTGTGCTGATCCTAACTGGGAATAGGCTCTTGTTTACAGTAAGTGATCTGTGTACATACTGTCTTCAGGGTATTTTGTCAGGCCTGGTAATAAAAGCATACATCCTAGGTGCTGCCAGTTTGGATATGTAAGTAACCTTTGTAGCTGGTCTCTTAAGCAGGGTGCGGACAGGGTATTAGCAGATTAAGGCCTCCAGCTTATTGGTGGCTGACGTAGCATAGGTTGGCAGAGTGCTGAGTGCTGCTGATGCTAGAGGCAGAGGGAAGGTGGAGATCTGCGAGCCTCTGCCAACAGCTGACGTGGCGTGTCCGCTGGGCCTGAGGCAGTGCAGTCCTGGTGCCCTTCAGGAGAGACCTCGGCTGGGGACTCCGAGAACCACTTCGCTTCCCATGGTAGCACTCCGTGTGAGCCTGGGCAGCTCGCGTCCTCCGGACCTCAGCTTCACACTGAACACATGAAGACATAGGGTTAGTTGCGTTGCTGCTGCTGGCCTCTCTCTCCTCTCGTCTCCAACTCTATCAAGTGATGATCTGTCAGAGTCCACGCAAGAGTAAGGGCTTAGCGAATAAATTTGCTAAAAGCTGTTCCCTGTTGAGTGTGTGTCGTGGCTATACCTACACAGAGCTTGCTCTTCCTGGGTTAGGTAAGCAAAAGTGATGAAGGGGTCTGCCTCAGTGAGCGCAAAGGCTGTCACAGCTGGGTGGTACCAACTCCTTTTAGGGGACAGGGTCAAGGCATAGGGGACAGTGGGATAGCTTTTATTGTCAGTTCCCTTTTAAGGTAAAATCCCACTCTGGAAACTAAACATAATACTGTAATATTGCATCTCCCAAGTCTCCAAGTTTTTAAAATGCGAGTCTGTTGAGGGGCCTGCTGTAGGATTCGTCCATGGGTGTGTGTACAAAGTCAGGCGATTGTATTAACTTTTAAGTTCGTAAGAAAAAATGTCTTTCCTTAGCAAACATACCAGTGATATGATTCCCTCGTGACCCTGCCTGTCCTTGTCAGGTCCTATCTGCAGGGTGCAGGGACTTCAGGCAGGACCGGATGTACTGAAGTGAGGTGTGGAAACACGAGGAAAAATACTTAGGCTTGGGATGAGTTTTTTAGGAGTTTCAATGTGAGCCACTGCTTAGGCCCAATCCAGGTAGGCCAAGAAACTATTTTTTTTTTACATTAAAAAACCTTTTATTTTAAAAAGAGAAAGACACAAAAACTATGATATAGAGTTTTAAAGTGGCATAATAAAACATTAGCAAGTTAATGCTCTGCATATTGTTGTTTCTGAAGTAGCTGCCCAGGTTATAAGATGTTGGCATGTGGAATTAATCAGCCAGTATAAGCACAAACTGATCTTTTCAATGGATTAAAAGAAATTAGTATAGTTATGTTAATTATTATATATAATTTTTCCTTCTTTCTTTGCTCCTTTCCCCCATCCCAGTTGTTTTTGGAACAGGAAAAAATTGTTAAGTATTGAAAAATTAAAATCTTTCTTTTAGCTTGCTCTGTTTTTGAGGCAGGCTCTTGCTATGCAGTCTATACTGGCCTTAAAGTCACGGTAACCCCCTTGCCTCAGCCTCCTGAGTAGTACAGGCGTGAAACACACGCCCAGCTGGAAAACTAAGACATTTTAATGAGTAGATTGTGGGAGAGAAAGACGTTTCCTACATACAAAGCTCATTTTACATGTGAATGCTATAAATTATGGAGATTTCTTAGATTTCAAGGAGAAGTCCTTAAACTCCATTAAAACTAAGCAAAAAGCCCTTTATCACACGTGCAATACGCGCAGGAGAAGGCCCTTGCCTGCCCCAGGCATTCTCCCCGTGGCTTGAGTGAGTGGCTCACATAGTGCTAAGAGCGGGACTCGGGAGCGAAGGCCGAAAGGCCCGGACTGCAGTATGCAGCTCTTGGCCCCTCTCCATGGCAGCAGGGCCCACCGGGAGGGCACGGCGGACTGCTGGGCCCACCGCTGGCCAGGTGCGCCCTTTCCAGACAGACTGGAACACCAGGATTCTCTTCAGAATTTACCAGCTATTCAAGGTTGGCTACAACTGTTTGCTGAAGGTTGTAAGTCCTTAGCACATCCTTAGAAGTTCCGTACAAACTTTATTTCGCTCATTATTCTTGCGGGTGGCAAAACCTGGATGCTGTCATGATCCAGAACTTGCTTCTGCGGGCAAAATATGCTTGACGACCTGCACCTCGTTTTTTTACCAGAAGATAAGTAAGTGTATGTTCAAGTAAATACCAGGAAATCATCGGTTTCCTCCTTGGGTGAATGGGCCTTTCCAGTCTTGATAGACAGCTGCTGCGCATGAAGCCGCTGTTCCCTGGGGCTCCGAGAGTCCCTCGCTTTCCCTCCAGGACTCATCGGCGCTGAGTTGCCCATCCCTGGATGTATACAGACTTGGGAAGGCCAGAGGCTCTAATGCTACCGGCTGTTGACACTTAGCATGTTCCTCTTCTCGTTCCAGAAAGTGGATGTCACCAGCAGGGCCGTGATTGAAATAATGACGAAAACGATCGAGTACCTCCAGCCCAATCCAGGTAGGCCGTCTTGCGGGAGCCTCACGCTCTGTGCTGCTGGGCGGCAGCTTCCTCCGTCCGCTCTGCTGGGGGTCAGTGACGTCACTTTGAGAAGGTGGGGTGGTGTTTAAAACTCATCCTGAAGTAATAGGAGCATCTGTCTTATTTTAGTCAATCATAGTACACTTAGCAGCATGTGTGTACAAGTGGGGTGACGTATTAAGATAAAATTTCAGTAGGATGTGCGAAAGTAGAATGATGGGGGTTTTGTGAACTACAAGGGGCCTCTTTTGATACAGAATTAGGAGTTTGTTTTTGGTTCGGCTTCTTTTCCATACACATCACAGGTCAGAATTTTCCTTGCTAACATGCTATACTTTAAGAGAAATGAATTACAATAGAAATGATAGATGTTTGTCTTGGAAAGAGAACCAGGTAAAACTGTCCACGCCTCAGCTCCAGGGATAGAAGAACACCACAGCCTGCAGCTCGGACCTCGTGACCCTGCCTGTCCTTGTCAGGTCCTGTCTGCAGGGTGCAGGGACTTCAGGCAGGACCGGATGTACTGAAGTGAGGTGTGGAAACACGAGGAAAAATACTTAGGCTTGGGATGAGTTTTTTAGGAGTTTCAATGTGAGCCACTGGTTAGGCCCAGTAAGCTTGGATGTTGAGGCTCAGAGGGAAAGAGCTACGAGAGGAGCTCTTGTGAGGCCTGAGCCACGGGTGGGGCTTGTCTGCCTTCCGTCCTGACAGCACAGCTGCCATGTTCAAGGTGAGTCTGTTGTTTTCTGTCCTTCTTGAAAAATAGATGACATTATGCCAGGAAAAAAATATGGTAAGGCCAAGGAGCTGAGCGGACAGTAGACCAGGTGAGATTTCAGATGATCATTGGCAAGTTAGGTAGAGAAGACCTGAATCAAGTTTCTGACTTTTACGTAGGACGACTTTCTTCACAGTTACATTCCTCAGAGATGTCAAGATCTCTTAGACACATTTTTATTTCTTAGTATTTAAGTGGCTGCAATAGGTCAAGTTTTGAAAAGAGGGCCACTGCCTCTGCTTACGAGTATCCAGGGCCAGGATACTTTTCTCTTTGTCTTTGAAGTATGACTAATTTCCTGGGATGCTCATGAACTGTGCTACTAAGTCAGTATTGTGAGCCTGAAGTTAGGAACAGGAAGAGAAAGAGTGCTTGCTGAGAGCGCAAGGGCGTTCGGCGGTGCAATGGCTCTGCGCGCTGTCTGGGAAAGAGCTAAGAAAGAGGATGGTGTGAGGCCTGAGCCAGGGGCGGGTAATCTGAAGCACAGCTGCACAACTCAGGGTGAAAACATGGCCAGGCTGCCCTGTAACCTGCGTTCTCGGGGCAGGCTCAGCAGGTTGCCTGAGGATGATGGACTCACGCTCTCCCGCAGGCAGGTACAGTGGCTTGTGTGTGTGCTCCCTGAGTCAGCTCTGCCCAGACCCCCAGAGTGTGATGTGAGCTGAAGGCTGGAGTTTTCCAAACATCAGAGGGATGGATCTTGAGATGGACGTGCGTTGGATGTGGAGCAGGCTCTAAATGCAAGGACTGGTGTCCCTAAAGGAGGAGAAGGAGGAGACATAAACCTAGGAAGACCACTGTTGGAGGAAGGAGCAGAGGGCACAGGGATGCCAGGAGCCATGGCAGGCTGGCAGAGCCAGGGAAGGAGCTGGCATCCAGCCTCTGCAAAGAAGCCACCCACCAGCACTCCCTGCAGAGTTCTGCCTTCAGGACCTGTGAGGAAGCACTGTTGCTTTGAGTTCCCCAGTTGGTGGTAATTTCAAATGGCTAGGTCTGGAAAATGAGTGCTCTAGCACAGCCCCATTTAATATGGGAAAAAACCAGGGGCCAGGGAAACTGGGAAGGGTGCAGCCAGACTGGAGCCTGGAGCCTCAGTCCATGTGCTTCCTGCTGCTGGGCCTTTCATGGTGGTGGCAAAGAGCAGAAAGCAAAAGAGAGGAGTAGCAGCAACAAAGGCTACAGAGCAGAAGTCAGTCTTAAAAGTTGCATTCAGGCTATCTGCCCCAGGGTGGGTGTAGCACTCACACCCATAATCCCAGCAGCACTCACATCCATAATCCCAGCAGCACTCACACTCATAATCCCAGTGGGTCATGAGTTAATCACAAACTCTAGAAGTCTACCCCATGACTGCATGAGACTCGGAGGGACAACTAGGCAAACCATAACAGTGGGTGTAGTAGAAATTCAGAAGAGAACATGGTGAGACCTATTTTTATTTTAATAAAAAGGACAAAGGAGGAAATAGCTGGGAGAGACATCCCTAAATGTTTAGAAAAGATGTTTTGATTAGTTACAAATGTAATAATTTTATTCCATGAAGGATGTGATTATTATGTATTTTTAATATGTACTAATAAAATAAAAACAGAAAAAAGTTTAAAAGGTAGTTTTAAAGTTCTCTGGGAAGTGAATGAACATCTGTGACCAAGAGGACCACTAATGGTGTCCCCAGGGAACCCCAGAAGGATTTCAGGAAGGCAGCTGTATTGGGTCAACATGGTATCATTAGGCAGCCAGCTGTGTTCAGGCCGCACACAAGCATATACAAATAAGTGTCAAAGCCAAAAAGTTCAGAACCAAACTGAATGTGTACTGCCTGTGTGTGATGGCTACGGCCGAGAGGCGTTAGTTCCTCTACAGGTTTGTGCTCCCAGAGTAGATGTGGCACAGAGATCTTGGGAGGTGGCTGGTTACGTCCGTGTCCGTTCAGACCCAAGAGCCCTTGGGATGCGGCACAAGAGTCTAGAAACTGCCTAGAGGCAATCAGTCCTTGACCAAAGTAGATCAAAGGGAATCTTTCCCAACTAGTGCAGTTGGCTGAATACTTCAACCACTTAGTTCAGAACGTGGAGAACAAGGAAGGAGAGGCTCACTGCTGCACCGCTTGCTGCTTCCTGCCTGCCACACCATGAACTGTTTCTCCTCTACCATGTTTTCTTGCTTTGACCCAGCTGATTATGCACTAACTCTATACACTGAGTTAAAATAAACCTTTCCTTAAAAACAAAGGGGGGGGGGGGAGATGGCTCAGTAGAATAAGCGCTTCCTTGGCAAGTGCAAGGGTCTGAGTTCAATCCCTGGTTCTGCCAAATAAATAAATAAATAAAACAAATTTTTTTTTTTAAATTAAAAAAAGAACATGGGATAATGCCAAGTAACAAATTACATAATGTGGCCAATAGACTCACTGGAAACCAATGGTTGGGAGATAGTTTGAGAGCACCCTGTATTACATTAATATTTGAGGATGTTGACTGGGTTTTGGATCTAATGTTTTAGAGCTTATACATATTTTATACTCTTAAAACTCAGTTCCTGCTGAAATGATGACCAGAGAGATTTTGATGAATTTCTAGGTATACACACACATAGTCTGAAGGTTCTGCGTTCACTGTTTACCTCCAGAGTGAGATTTTCCAAAGGCAAATCTGATCATACTATCTTATATAGAACCCTCAATAGTTTTTCATGCTTTTAGGATTAAGTTTTCAGATTTCAACATGGCTTTAAAGGCCCTTTGCCAGTCTGAGTTATTTTCCTCATTGCTGAGACAAAATACTGGACACTCAAAGGTAGAGGAGCAAAGGTTCCTTTTGGCTGACAGTTTCTCAAGGTTTCGGCTTATAGTTGGCTGGCTCCAGGGCAGGATGGCGTGGCAGAGGGGCAGCACAGAGGAGAAAGTCCATGGCAAGCAGGCAGGTAAAAGCAGGCAAGGGGCCTTGGCAACTTCTTTCTGCCCTTTCATCTTTTCTCTAGGCTACTGGGATTAGAGCTGTTCCAAACCAATCGCATTCCTTAATCCCAGCATCGCACTGTAGATCCAGCCCCCTCTGAACAAGCCCCATCTGTGACTGTGTGAAGCTTTGGGGGGCCACCTAGACACAAGTCTGAACAGTACCCTACCTTGTTAGGACATGCCTCTTTCAGGCCAGCATGAAGTTTGTGTAGAAGACTTCCTTGGCCTCTCTCTATGTATTCCATAATCCGAGCTGCTTTTCAGTAACGGCGCATGTCACACTTGTTGAAATCATATGCCATAATATGCTTGGTTTTGTTTCTCTCCCCTTTGAGGATGGGATTGTGCCTGTCTTTCTGCTATCTCCTCTGCCCCCAGCTCAGCTCCAGGCAGCCAATAGGCATTTAGGTATTTGCATAAAAGAATATGAGGCACAGTTGACAGCAGCAAATGTAATGAGACCACTTTTACAAAGGAAAGAAAGAGAAAGCTTTCCTTTCCCTGAGACCCTAATTTCTACACATGTAAACAGCATTTTCTTCATTGCAAAAATCAATTCTAGTAGTGGTGGGAAGAAGCGTAGGACCAAGAAGGGGCCCAGCCTTTCAGAAATCATAAGCCTAATAGTGTAAGTTACATGCATTCTGAGGGGAGTGACTTAGAAGGCTTCTTTCTGAAAAATTCTTTCTGAAAAATCTAGCTCCCTGATGAGGCAGGGGAGGGGCAGTAGGCTTGTAGGCCTGAAGTTCTGCTCTAAGAAGCAGGGCTTTTGAAAACGTGAGAGGTGACTTTAAAGCCTTTCAGTAGGAGTGCAAAACTACCGACTGGAGCAACAGAACCAGGATAGATTTCTAAGATGTTTGGATTAAAAAAGGCTTTTTAAAATTTCGGTTTTGCTTGTACAAGTGTACACATTGAGGAAACATATAGCATTTCATTATCCACTGTACAGTACTGAAGGCAGGTTAAGCATCTGTCTACACACAAATTTATCATTTCTTTATGTTGGAAACACTCTGAATCCTTTTAGCTTTTAAACATACACAATACGTCATCGCAATCTGCGGTCACTGCTGTGCAAAACGTTAACACGTCACAACTTCTTACACCCCTCGAACCGTGCCACGGCACGTGGACCAGCGTGTCCCGCCCCTGCCCCTGCTCCCCCAGCCTCTCGTCATCACCGGTTTGCTCTCAACTTCTAGATCACGTAGGTTTGTAATAGACCTGTGAGTGAGGTCA